TACCAGCCCACGGTAGCCCGTTGGCTTTGAAAAAAAAGTGTGCAAACCATCATTTTCAGGAGATTTGAGTGGATGCATGTCGAAGAGGGCTTTCTTAATCTTCTCATTCGACACCGTAGAGCTTAACAAATTATAGTCCGCTTAAGAGATACGTGGGAAGACATTCTGAATGGGAAAAGCTTCTAAGGGAATTTCGTCATTCCGATAAAGATCAACAAAGAAAGCGGTAGCTTCCTGACGGAGAATGTCATCATTAAAACACCATTCCCCGCTACTAATCTTTAAAGCTTGGACCGATTAGACTTGCAGCGACTAATCGTGCGATTATGAAAAAAATTTGATGTTGCGATCCCCTTACATAATCCAGGTACTTCTCGATTTTTGTTGTCAAAGGATCTCCTCATGATCTAAGACCTCTTCAAGATTAGCTCAAATTTCCAACTTCTCATAAAAGAGGCTACTATTTCCCTTAATATCCATCTCTTTTCGAATATCGGCTAACCAGTGCTTGAGGATTTTCTTCTTTTGGAAGATATGTCTATAAACATCCATGTTCCACACTTTGAGACCATTAGAAATAAAATTAATGGAGCTAGTAATGTTACCTTCATACGACCAATTTTCACAAATGAAGGAATTGAAGTTTGGGTGTTGAATCCAAACAGCTAGAAATCGAAAAGGGCGCTGAGCTTTGAATCTAGAAGCTTTGGCCGTATGGATCAAGATCAGCCTCTGATCATACTTGATCCTGGGGAGATAGTAAACGGACGAATCGGGGGCAAAGAAGAGCCACTCCCCATTAGCCACCATGCTGTCGAACCTCTCAAAGACATTACCTCGCATCCAAGTGTTTGAGGGTCATTTGAAGCCAAGATCGACAAGGTTATAGCACTCTAAAAAATCATGAAAAAGAGCACATCCACTTCCTTTCCTAACATCGCCCCTCTTCTCATTGCTATTCAGAATCACGTTAAAATTTCCCGCTATAAACCACATAAGTTTAGTGTTAAACCGGATGTTGCTAAGGTCCCTACAAAAGGCTTTACGCTTAGATGTCTCCGGGTGCCCGTGCACGATGGTAACAAGGAACGCAAGGTGGGAGCCCATAGAGACTTGAGAGAGAATAAATTGAGGATGAGTCGCAAGAATATCAACTGTAATAGTGTGATTCCAAAGGAGGCAGATACCACTGGAAAAGCCCGTAGCTCTAAAAGAACTCTCAAAAGCACGCTTGGAAATAAATCGATCAGCCTTTTGCCCACTACTCTGCTATTCAAGAAGAGCTATCATATCCGGTTTATACTCGAGGGTATATTCCTTAAGGACCTTTGAAAATCTAAGTACACCACAAACTTGACAATTCCAAGATATCAATTTAAAATCCAAAAAAGTGTTAGAGAAAGAAAACCTCTGACAATTACCCCCTTTGGTGATGGCGTTTCGATCATCTCCCTGGAGGTAAGTCGTCTCTCGATACTGTGAACAACATCTTGCATGGTAGTCTGTAGAGATGGTTTAGGGGTAAAATTAGCCTTAAGCTTGACCCCTTTATTTCAAATCACATAAGGAGCTAAACGATTTTTTGTAGTTGCAGAGTGGCCTGGGGTGGGTTGTTTGCTATGGTTAGAGTAGTGTGGTCCATTCCCTTGATTACTATTATGAAACGAAACCATCGTATGGAAGGTAGAGTCCAAAGTAGTAACCACCTTTTGCCCATTCATGCCTAAAGAATTATAAAAAATTGGATTAATGTTCGGGGTAAAGTTAGTTCCATTTACTGTTACCACCTCGATTGGCGTTAAGTCTTCAAAATGCATGGCTTTCGATTGTAAGTTGGCATTGCATGGATTCCATAATGTGATCTTGGGAGTTCAAGGAGGGGCCCACGTCTTTAGTCAAGGATGGAGTGCTACTGCTGGAGTCCACCACATGATATAGAGGCTTCATAATGGAAAAAAACATTCTCCTTCATTTTTGCATGGAAAAGGGACTTTGGCTGTGGTTACCTGCAATGCAAATACCCTGATTATTAGGTAAACATTTTCTTTAGAAATGGGAAGAGACTGAGTAATAGATTCGAGAGCAATGGTGGTGATTGATTCAGTGTCTGCTTGAATATTATTCTGATTTCCTTTCTTATGGTGCTGATTCATTCCGTTTTTACTTGTGGGTTCCATTAGAACACCAAATCTCGATCCATAACTATTAGTTGCCTTAGAAGGTTTTGAAACTTTAGCTCTATCCGTTTGGGTCCGGCACAGTCGTTGCTCAACAATCATCCAGGGATCAAACTGATCGTTTAGACGGGGAATTGTTCCCGGTCGATGTCTCACTCGGGAAGTGAATAGAAGGGTTAGTAGGGCTCGACATAAGCTTGTCCTCCTGTTGGTGAGAAAAACGAGGACGCCCATCCTTAAGATGGCCAAATCTACCGCATGAGAAGCATATTAGGGGCAAATTTTCATATTCGACAACTTGGATTTTGTTACCAACCACCACTCGAGAAATTAAGGATTTTTTGAGGTTGACGCAAACAACAATTCTAGGGAATCTTCTCCTATTACTGGTGGCATTATGAAAGTCCAGTTTAGCCACCTTGCCAACCAAGTTCCCAATAGCATAGAGAATTTTCTTTTTGTACATGTATTTCCGGTAGACTATGGAAACGTGTCCAAGTGATCACAGTCGTAGGATACGGCTTTGAAGTTCGGAAGTCAAGCGTCCCTGGCTGAACTGTTAAATATTAACCATAGACCATCCAAGGACCTTCGACAAGAACTTTACCGTAATCTTCATCATTTTGAAATTTGGCCAGAAAATAGTCATTCTCCACGTCCATGAGGTAAATGATTGAGAAGGCTTCCAAAGAGTGAAGGTTTTGTTTGTGAGCGTATTAAGACCAATGTTTCAACCAAAAAGTTTAATAACCACTGTTTAGGACCATACTAGCTTCCATGAGTTTGTATGCGTGGTCTGCCATCGATCCTTTAGAGGTAGGTTACCCACCTCCATTACCTGTCACAACTAAAGCACATGATGGAGAAGAATCCATTTGCATCACGTGTTGTGGTTTAACCTGCCCCCTTCATGTGAGACAATACGCTTCTCTGGATCTGCTGAACTTTCTGAACAAAGATCCTTGAAACGAACCTTTCTTGGGGCATCAGAATTGGGTGGAGCCTCCCAAGAGGTCGTCGGAGGAGTACTGGTGTTGAGAGGATTTTCTAAATTCCGTTTGGTTAGTGCAATTATTGAACGACTAAAATAAATATTTTAGATGCAACTCAGAAATTAAAATATTAAATTTTATAGTTAAAGAACTAAAATAATTTTGAAATATAAATCAAAGAATTTTAATAAAATTTTTAATCTAAAATATGACAACACAAATTTACTATTAAAACGGTTAAGCCGGTTCAAGCATTAATCCAAAGGGTAAAATACACAAATGGTCCCTAAACTATAGAGTATTTCATTGTTGACTTCTCTAAATCTTATAAATTACAAAATAATCCTCTAAAAATAGGGTATTTCTTTTTGAGTCTCCCAACTATTAAATATTATGAAATGGTCACTTGACTATTCATATGTTCCGAACTCCTTCTTTTTCGTTAAAAAAATTACGGTCATATAAGTTAGATGTTAACATGTTGATTGTGATATAATAACCGCTTGAGATTTTGGGATTAAATTTTATCATATCTTAATTAGTATGTTAACTTTCAACTCAGAATACCGTAAATTTTTTAACGAAAAATGATGGGTTTGGAACATATAAATAATTGAGTGATCATTTTATAAATTTTAACAATAAAAATTCTCAATAAAACAAAGTCCAATAGTTGAGGGATCACTTTATAATTTTTAATAATAAGGAGACAACAAAATAGTACGTTATAATCGGGACCAATTTACAAAATCCTCTTCGGAAAAGCGCATTAGATTTGTGTTATAGGGATGAAACATTGTGGAGTCATGTGATTCTGCTTGAGAATGGGAAACCATTGAACCAGAAAAAGAAAAATAATCTTCTGCTGCAAAGCAAATCGGTTCCACTGAAATGCTCATTCAACGTAGCTGCCAAAATCAACTACAGCAAGACGTGCTATGAGCCTATAAGTAAATAACCTGGCTGCCAATTGCTTCTTCCTCGAGTAGGACTGCAAGTTTATGCCTTTTGCGCTGCTCCCAGCGCCGATTGATATTGTCGTTTTCTTAATGTTTTCTTAATGCCTTGCTCAACTTGTGCTGGTTTTTAAAGGTTGAATTGGAAGTGGGTCTCGGTTTTTACAACTTCATCTGCGTTAGAAGTGCGAATAAAATAACAAGCTTGTCTAAGAGAAGGTTAGATTTTTTTTTTCCAATTTTGTTGAGAACCCACTTTCTATATTTGTTAGTTTTGAGCTTTTAAATGTTGAAACTCCGAGAAAAAAAGGGAAGGAGATGACCGGACAAGGCATATAGTTTGTTTCACTCGGCTGAGTCTGGTATAAGGCCATTTGCCAATTTGGCTTTAGTTCAGCTGAAATGACATTCACACTTTCTGGGAAGTATCTCAACACACACCGTTCTTTGGCTGTCTCTGCTAATAAAGAAAGGGCATGGAAAATTTCCAGGTTTTGGAGTTTCCTTTTCCTTTTAAATGTTTAATGCACTTAGAATATTGCTGAATATTCACAGACAAACTGGGGTTTCTCCTATCTATCACAATCAAGTGTTTTAGTTTATTATCTGTTGATTTTGTGTATGAGAATTGTTTATTTCCTTATTTTTATTTCTGGGTAGTTGCAGAAGTGCAGCAACTGGCAAAGTGTTGTCTGTCTTTTATTATTTGTTTTCTTATTGCATTTGGTTGGAATAATTGCTTTTTTGTATCTTAGTAGTTGTAACTTAGTTTTGAAGTGTCTCACTCTGTCTACAAGTTGCAAGCTTGGTGTTTTCATATTGTTGTGGTTCTTATTTAAACATCCTCAAGATTCAATGAGGTTTTATGTTTAATATATGATTTCTATACTTTTTGTTTGATGTTAGAAGAGCTATTTTTCTTGCTCTCCCTTTTCCCCCATTTGCTTGAAATAAATTTGGTTATTTTGATTATACATGTTAAGGCATACTTGGTCCGGTCTCCTTGCAGCAATGCCGATGTCTGGAGAAGAATCTGATTATGAAGAGGTTTCTATGCAGCAGGGCTTGTTATTCTCTGAGAGTCTCAAGGTATGAGAGTTAATGATATTGTCTGTTTACTTCTTAGGCTTGAAAGAATAGGATCTTCCTTAAAGTTGAAATCTTTCTTTTGTTTCTTTTCTTCTATATCCTGGTTGAAATTCGGTCCTTCTAGATTGTATGCTTAGCATTTTGATGGCCAAACTGATTGCACGCTCCAGTTAAATCACTGCCTAATTTGGGTGGCTTTGTCTTAGTATTGCTAATCCGCCATCTATATCAGTCGAGTGCGATATGCACAGATTCGGCACTTCACACCGCTAGATAATGCATTTATATCTCATATCCATGGTTTTATCACAGAGATCTTTTGTTTTAGGATTTGAAAATACTCAGAACACAACTCTACTCAGCAGCCGAGTATTTCGAGCTGTCCTACACTAATGATGACCAAAAGCAGATGTGAGTCACTCTAATTCATCATAGCTCATTTCGTTCAGCGTTGTTCAAGTTTGGTTACTTCCATTTTCTCCTATTTTTGATTATGAAGAAAGATTGTCATGTATATGCAGAGTGGTAGAAACATTAAAGGATTATGCTGTAAAAGCCATTGTGAACACCATTGATCATCTAGGTTCTATGACATACAAGGTTAACGATTTTTTGGAAGAAAAGGTTGATGAGGTTTCTGGAACAGAGCTTCGGGTATCTTGTGTCGAAGAGGTAATGTTGAATTCTTTTCATTTCTTGGTGAGATAACTTTGATTCTAGCCTTTGCTGTTATATGCCTACAAAGTTTTGAACTTTTCCTTACTTGAATGTGGCACTGCAGAGAGTACGAAAATGCCAAGAATATATTGAACATGAAGGAATTTCCCAACAGTCGTCGATTATTAAAACACCGAAGTACCATAAATGTTACATGTTGCCAGGCAATTACCCGACTCTACTCTGTTCTCTTCGCCTTTTTCCATTTTGTTGCAATAACCGGGAAAGAATATTTCGCTGTTTTTAATGTCTTTTATCAAATCCCAGTTGGGGAGACCTTGCATGGTGCAAATCAAACCAAGTCAAAATATCAAGGATGCAGTCTAGACAGTGAGGATAACGGCCATCGGTTTAGGAGTGGTAGTTGTTTTATCTATCCTTTTGCATCATCTCTTATATTTTGGATAAGGTTCCAATGTAACTCGATCCTTCCTCTAAAGCTGTTCGAGCTACAATTAGGGAAGCACGACCGCCGCAATCTGTCAGGGAAACCCCGACATCTTCAATCAGGTAAAGATCACCATTACATTTCTGGTGAATTGCATTAATAGACCATAGTTATTTAGTTGTATAATTAGAGCATGAATGCCAACTATTCTAGTAATGGTTGTTGCAGAAGAGGACATTCTCCATCACCTTCTCCTCGGCCTCAACAGCGATCGACAACGTTTTCCTTTACTGCTACCACGCCAAAGAAAGAAATAGGTTGATATACTTTCTTTCTGTTTTACCATCCTATTTCCTTAAAAATGTTTTCGGTTATGACTTATGAATGCATGTTTGTGCTTATTGATGGTACGATGATGTTTATACGTATAATCAGAGAAGCGAACGGTATCACCTCATCGATTTCCTCGTTTGAGTTGTGGATCTGATAGCAAGCCTATAACCCCGAATAAGAGTCGGTCAAGTACTCCGAATTCGGCTGGTGCGAGGCAACGGGTGAGTGTAAAGTAGTTTCATTTATATGCTTAAGTCTATCAATGAAGCATTGCAGCACATTTTTAACAATTCATACTCTGTTAAGGATGACTGTGATCTATAAATTCTAACTTGAATTTGGTTTGAATTGGCAGTATCCATCAGAGCCTCGAAAATCTGCTGTTGATTCTGAGAAAGACAACACCAAAGACATTGAACAAATTCCCACCAAAAGTAAGAGACTCAAAGCATTTTTTGGTCGTCGCAAATCAAAGAAAGATGATATGCTGTATACTTATTTGGATGAATATTGAGGGGACGGATGATAGAAGACCAAAACGCCCAATGATAGAGGCAAACCATATATATGTATATAGTGAATGCAAACTGTTTCCTCCATATTTTATCAGTTAAATGCTTAATTAGAGGCTAATTTTTGAAAGATTATTCACGTAAAGAATTGATCTTTAAAATAACAATGTAGGAGATCAGTCTTCTTTAATTGGATCAAATTGTGTTAACGTTTTAGATTTAATTTAGACTTTTTAGATGATCCCAAATTATTAATTATTTATTTATGTAATTACATAAAATAAAAGTTAATGTATAAACTTACATATTTCGATAAAGAAAATATATAGCAAAGTATATTTGACTAAAATTTATGTATAGTTTTAACATATATTCCTATTAAATTTTGCAACGTGGTAATATACATATTTTCATTAAATGTTTGTTATATTCAATATTTATTTTGTGTTGAGATTATCGGGATCAATATTGACCAATTCGTTTTATCCCATAATACAGCACTAAAGAAAGTCGATTCCCATGTTAACATATGTTGAGCCTAACAGATTCTTTGCAATCCATGGGTGCAGTACGCATGTCAAGAAATCATCTATTAAAGAATAGCAAAGATTGAGAAAGAAACTTCTTGTATTATCAAGCTAGAAGTAGTGCATGGAGAGCTTCTATCTCTGTTTCCTTGATCTCACTTTGTTTATCTTCTTATGTTGTTTCATGTGAATCTACATCAACTGTTGGCACTGCTACTAACTGAGTTTTCTGCTTCATCTCTTTGGCTTTGTCCCATAGCACCATGTATACTCCACACACGATCATCAATCCTTCTATCATACTTCCTAACTAGAGCTTTTCATCGATAAACAAAGATCCAAGAATGGCAACAAAGACAAGCCCCAAGGGATTGACAATAGATGCATACAAAGGATTCATCAATCGAACCGCCCATGAAACCAAGAACACCAACAAAGCAAATCCAAGAATTCCAGAGAAACGATCGATACATTATCTAAGCTCTACTTAGGATTTATCATAGGAGGATTGATGATCTTGTGTTGAGTATAGGTGGTTCTACGGGGCAAAGCTAAAAAGATGAAGCAGAAGCTCAGTTACTACAAGTGCCAACAGTTGATGTAGATTCACATGAAACAACAGAATAAGATAAACTAAGTGAGATCAAAGAAACAAATGAAGAAGGCATAGAAGCTCCCCTTGCAGTAGTTCTAGCTTGATAATACAGTAAGTTTCTTTCTCAATCTTTCTGTTCTTTGATATTCTTTAACATCATCCAATTTGTGTTGCTCTATTAATTGTTTTCATACTGTATAGGCTACTGGGCAGGTTCTTAAAATATGACTGATGTCCTGGACAGTCCGCCAACAATTCCGGCATGTAGCATCTGTCACCATATGAATCCGGACTTGTTCAACATTTGTATGTAATCAATCAACTAATTTTTAAAAAAATTCAAGTTATTGGAGTTGATTTTACAACTCGATTTGAACTTAAATTTTTTTAGTCAATTTATGAAATTACATCTCGAAGTCAATTCGAGTCAAATTTTTTCAAATTGATTTTTCGAGTGGAGTTGAGTTTTGTACACCCCTAACTATGGCGAGGTGGATTTTTTTTTGAAATTCACACAAATTATTATAAAATAGGATAATTATAATTATAAAAATCACTTTTAATGTTTTTAGAGTGTTTTCTAACGTTTATAAACTTTTATTAATACGCGAACACAATTTTTACAATCATTAATTATTTTTATATTTATTTATATATTTATTAAGAATATTATATTAAATCATGATAAATAAAAAAATATTAAACATTCATCATATTTAATAAGTTTGTAAGTTTCTATCGATGAAATGTCAATAGAATAATTAAAAATCCTACTTTAAAAAGTCATCAATTTTTAACAGTTTTAAAAATAGTAAAATTATAATTTTTAACAACTTTAGAAATAGTAAAATTATCAAAACATTTGAAAAATAATTGAATTGAAGAAATTAGGTGACCAATTTAAACATTGTTTGAGGCATATAATTTCTAGAATTGGGTTTAACGTGTAGTGGGACTGTAAAAGTTTTCAATGCAACTGGATGTTACTAAAGAAGAAAAATGTTTACTAAAATCTTAAAACAACAAAATAACAAATTACTTATCTTTAGATGAATTTGGAAAGTAGAGTAACACCATTTAAATAAAATAAATAGAATTAAAATGACTTTAAACTCATCGAAATTGAATAATTTGAGAACAAATATGAGAAAATTCAATTTACTGCAACAAAGACAATAATAGTCAAAGATTAAAATTGAGAAGTAAGATATAAAGGTTTAATATTACTAAAATTGAAAATATTAATAAAACATCTATTTAAAAAAACACATCTTACAAAAAAGTGATAGAAGAATAATTTAATTTTCACCAAGTAAAAAAATGAGGAGACTCAGATCCTTCACCTTCATTTTGAGAACTTTCTTGATTTGATTTTCGTAACTTTTTTTTTCAAAAAAATAAAAAATTAACATTTTAACATTGATTTTCATATAATTGATGTGGATGATATATTTGAAGAGTAGGAGGATACATGAGAAGTGGACATGGGTGATACGTTGGTGGTGAAAGATGCAACACATATTAATTAAAAAAATGATAAATAATAATCATATGGTTGTGGATAACCATGGGAAGGTTGAAAATATAAAGATTGTTCTGGTGCATATAAGTTATTTCACTAACCATTTTAATTCTTAATCTTTATAACTGAGGAACACATGTGTCATATATTATCCATCAGTAATCTGTAAAATAGTATTTAAATTTCAAAATAACTTTAAAAATATACAATATAATTAAATAATTTATAAATAATTTAGTTAATTATTTAAATCGTTTCATTCGCTTTCATGCTTTTAATGCATGTGGAATACCTATTGTCTCATGTTTATCTTGAAATAGTAACAACTGTATAAATAAAAGATAGAGTAAACATGAATAACAAATATATTTTCAAATTATATATCTGAGTTACAAATAATAATTATTGAATATACTAACAACCAGTTTGTCTAATGTGATGATACAATAGATCCTTTAAGTAAGGTCATATGTTCGAATCCTGACGATTGCGAATGGAGCAAACTGGGTTGAGAGGGTCGTCCTTGCCTTTGCATTACCCGATTCGGATTAGTCGATCAATAGATCGAATACGAATAATTATACCCAAAAAAAATACTTGAATCTAACAATTTTAACCATTTAACTAAAGTATTAAGAGAATGTTCTAATTTTTAAATTACCCATAGTGTACTTCTAATGTTTCTATCAATATATTCTCATGTTCCACCCCAAATTGAAATTAAGAATTGAGAAAATAATCTAAGTATATTATATATGAATATTATTAAATAATAATAATAATATAACCTTTAAAATAATAAAATTTCATCTATAATAAAATAATATATATATATAAATAATAAAATATAAAAATTAAAAATGATTCTTATTTATATGAGAATTTATCTTACTAGTTGAAAGCAAATTAGACTGCATAAAATTTTATCTATTGTCAGTAATATTTTTGTACTCGATAAAATATTAACAATTATATTGAATTGCTCATTTAAGTCTATCTACAATCTCATAAATAAAATTTATTGTTGATTTTAATCACTATCAACAAAGTTCAATACTTTTTAAACTTTTATGAAGTCACTTGATTTTTTTTTCGAAATCTTTTAGCAAAGCAAATTTTTTGACTTCATAAGCAGACCTTGATTTTTGTTGTCCTCATTTTGATTTTTTAAATTCATAAATATTCATAATATAATTTAAATTATTTAAAATTAATGAAACATTAAAAGTCGATATACTTAAGCAATTATATAATTATTTATAAAATACTGATATGTGAAGTAAACATTTTTCTCAGGCCTTGCTTTTGTCTTATTATCTCTTCAAGCTGAATAAAATGAGTTGTAAATTGAGTAAAAATAGGTGGAAGTAATTGCTTCCTGTGTGTATACTTCTTCATTAGATCATCAGTCCAAATGTGATCGTATATGAAGCAAGTAACTTTCTTAGGCTCATCTAACACTTTTGCTACACTAGGCTTTTCTTCCCATATCTTCAAGGCATAAATGTAAACAATGAGATGCACATAAGGTCTAATATAAATGTTCTCTTTTCGACATTATTTTTTTCAGCAACTTTCATTGTTGTCTCATGATCAATCACTATTTAGACACGATAGCTTTCTCCAATTTCTTCTTAGACCTTTAGCAATAGCCATACAAATATAATAATTAAAAAAATAATTTCAGAAAACATATTTTATATATGAAAAATCATTAAATTTAAACTTTAGTACAATTAATAAAAAATAAAAGAATAAAGTTTAAAAAGGAAATTAGAAGAATCAAAAATTAAATAAAATGAAATTCCTATTTTTTAAATAGAGATGCAATGTGTAATTAATTTACAACCTGATTCTCTATGCTAGGTGTAGACACCCGTTTTATTCGGGTCTACAAAATTATTATTATTATTATTATTATATATTATTATTATTATTATTATTATTATTATTATTATTAATTATTTTGTTACACATTTTGTAGGCCCACTGGACCCAAATTACAAGCAACACATGTCTTCAACCGAGGCCCAAAATAGCTAACCCATAGCCCAGTTACAAGCCCAGCAGCCCATAATACAAAGCAACCTAATTCCAGAAACAACCCAACATAGCTGGCCCGACCCGGATTCGACCCAACTGACCTATTTGTCAAACCCAAATAGATTAGGGTTTTTAACCCTAATCCCTTAACAACAATCTCCGTCGCCAGCCAACGTTCCAACCACTAGAACCGGGCGTGGACCGTTCGATTCCCCAGCCGCATGAGTCATCGTCAAGTACTCCCGAGCAGCCGTCGAGTACCCCACTGCTCGATGTTATCATCAAAAGTGATGGAAATAACCCAAGTAAGTAAAATC